TGTTGCCATTAATTCTGAGTTGGGCTTCGAAGTCTGTTAGGTCTGATTACCCAAATGCTAGTGGAGAAGAAAGGAAGACACTACCTGACTAAGAATGCTCGGATAGTCATCGAAAAAACAAGTCCTACCGACAATTCCTAACAAGGCCAAAAGAAGCTGTTGTATACAACCAGTTCGTGGGATGAGAAACAATCAAACGAAATAACTAATAGATCGTGTTAATTTTTTACGATCATGCGATCCCTGTACCAACTTGTACCGTAACCGGCTGGTTGGTAGCCGTAGAAAATATAAAACCGCCTACAACAGCGGAGAATCCATATTTGGAGATCGATAATAGCACGAAACTGGCACGTTGTGTAACTGGAAATTCAAGGTGCGCTCACGAGAAAGGGAAACTCGATAAAAATGCTATTTTCTCAACGTAATGCATACGGAGCAAAAATTCTTAGCAGTTCTATAGTGTGGCAATTATATTTAAAGTACAGACTATAACCTGCAAAATTATAGGAGGTTCCGAAACACCTTGAAGATTTTCGACAGGAAGTGTAATTTCTGATATTACAAATCTGCTTTAGAGTAAGCTCGACCAGCCAATTGGAGAAACTCACACACTCTCACTCCCAATAGCATAAAAGCTCTCAAGTATGCAAACTTTCACTTCATGGCCTCTAAGTGGGTTTTTACAGAAGAATGCAGGAAATTTCATTCCAGCTGCAATACAGGGTATTTCCAAAACAAGGAGCAAAACTTCAAGGAATATTTTACGACACTTCGTCCTTTGATGATTTTCTTAATACCATTCTGATTTGAAGAGCCAACACTTCGAAAATGATAATTTATGGGCAAAAATCACGAGATAATTTCCTGAATTTACAAGAACCTCTGTGAAACAGCGAACTTCCTCTATCTAAATTATTCGACTTTTTCGAACTTTCATATTTCCCGCTGGCAAGTACTTTAGAGAGTTCGATGAGGAAGGGGTTTATGTCCAAAGATCGAGCGGGCTATAAATTATATCCTCCGCGGTATATCCTAACGAATTAGGAAATAGGAACGAGCAAAGATGCGATAGTGGTCCTTTAAATCCCGAGTGAGTTGTCAGGATAGAAGTCGATATTACAGGTCGATCAGGCTTAAGCCACTAGTTTGACAGTTGAGGGAATTAAATTAGATTTTTTCTGCGACAACTTGTAAAAATGCGTGGATTTCGATACAACTCTAGTGTTCCAGACAATTGTGGAAAATGGTGAAGGTTTTTGTGAATAGAAAGCAGCAGTTGAAGCTAAATAAGTGCAGATCTTTTCGTCTTGGGGCCTCGGTTGGCCGCGTGTCGTGCTACTGATCAGCCGGCCGGCCGGGCCGCGAATTCGAATCTCGCCTTCGCCATGGATGTTGTGACGTCGTGTGTTTGTCCATAATTAGAGAAATATAAGTAACACACATCTGTGGCAAATGGATAACTTCCAATGCCAGAAAAAAAAAAAATCTTTTCGTCGCTAAGCGTTAATCTAGTATAGTCATCGGCCCTGTTATCGGCATTGCGAGAGGGCATATATCTCAACGTTTGGCTTTTACCTAGACAGTTATGGATAGCTTTGATTTTTTTTTCATTGCATCTGATTTTTTGACTGCTGTAGGAAAATAGAAAACTGCAAAACATTGGGGACAAACTAGAATTTATCATAAGTACTGAAAAGGGCCAACTGGAACTTTAACTTTGGGTCTTATATACTTTCGTTTAGAACACTTACTTTCTGATTAGTTAATAACAGTAATTTTATGCTGATTAATTAATAACACTAATTTTAATTTTTTTTAGGAATTTCAACATGCCCCAAAAAAAGTCTATTAAATTTATTAAATCACTCCTAAATCTTCAGTGTTCAACAAGGTATTTGCTTTAGTCAAGGATTTGCTCTGATCATATACAACATACACAGCTATTTAGAAAACTCGAGTGGGGTTCAAGCAAGATGTGCTACTATTTCTAATTTAAGGTACTGTTATTGCAAAGCTTTAATTATTCTGAATCTTTCAAAATTACGAATCAAGCTGGAATTGTTCATAAGCCGCACGGTTAATAAATGTTTAGTTTCTTTGCCTTATTTAATTGATTGAACAATAAACGATTCACTTTACAACACAGTATTTAGGCTCTGTTGTACAATTGGCCACTGAAATACCATTACCAAAGAAAATAATGTACGCTATCGGTCATCACTTTGGAAGGCATTGGTAGTCAAATCTAGCAAAAAATAATGCACCAACTGTTGGGTGTAAAGGAATGGTGTTTTAAAAATATCTTGACAGTCTGTCACGAAGAGAATAAAGTCTTGTATACTAGGCTGGAGATATCTTGTGATTTTGAAAAGTTTTTTGTATACGAACAAGCCGCGCGAGATATTCACCAACAGATTTTATTTTCGAAAATTGTGAATGCTCGATATCTTCGAAACGAAACGGTATTACAGGAATCGTCAAAAAACAACAGTACAAGAAATCACTCTCTGAATGATTGCACATTGTTTTGAAAATCCCCTGTATATCCGGCGTAGTCCCAGAGATAGAAATTTAATAACAGTACCAATTTAAGGTTTGCCAACGTATATAATATCCGAAGTTTGCTCATGTCTCGCACTGTATACAGGGTGTCCGGTAAATAGTACGACAAAAGACAGGGAAGATAGGCGGAAGGCAGATCTACAACATACCTAAAAATCACCCTAGTAAAAGTTTCACTGTTTTTGAGATATTAATTTTCGAAAAATTTCCTCGTTTGATCCATGCTTTGTTACTGATTAAGCAGATAATTTATCGCAGTACTTTGCAGTAGCAGTCTAGTACATTTTTATTTCATTGCTGAATACGAACGTTGAGTAAAATAGTTATCTAAAATAAAAATTACGAAGAAGAAATTAGTTTGTCATGTTTACCTACTTGTATTTATCGAAAATAATATTTCAAATTGCAGACCATTTTGCAGAAAAAAAACAAACAGATATCCTGTTATTTCTAGGCACAGCAACAAAATATAGATTACAAAAAGAGAGACAAAAAAATTAATATCTCAAAACAGTGAAACATTTACTAGGGTAATTGTAATGTAGATCTGCCCTTTGCCTATCGTCCCTATTTTTTTGTTGTATTATTTACCGGACACCATGTATAATCTTATTTGGACACGTTCACGGCAGCTCTACCGAGCTTAATATCAGTAACCGTTTGATTCCAGAATACAATGTTGATCCTTCATGTCCTGCTCACACAGTTTCCTTTTCAATAAAGCGAAGAGTGGGAAGTTATTTCGGTCCTAATGCACCTAATCCTATTTCCAAAAATATGATGTCGTGCGTTGTATCTATCTCAAATATAAAAATACTCATGCATATAGTTTTTCTAGCATGTCGCTCAACGGTGCTTAAGTAATTATTTGCAGCAGAGACAAATTGTGGTCGGTCAAAATAAATTGGTTCTTTCCATATAGAAAGTAAGGTACGGTATATGTATATGGAGTTATATTCGTGTCGTGCCGCAAACGATTACACGGGTTATACAGGGTCATCACGATTATGCATGACGTACAGTTATGAACTTCCTTCTGATCGAACATTCTGGCAGATTTAGCACTGAAAATATCGCTTCGATATCAAACAAAAAATTGTAAAATAAACGCCGAAACATTGGCAATTTGGAAACAGATTTTCAACACCCGTTTGCTATCCCAAAAATCCATAAATCCAATAAATCCAATAAATCAAAACTATATATTTTGTATAAAAAAAAATGGCATTTCAATTTTACATACTTCAGACGACTTAGGAGGGCCTCAGACAGAACATCCTTTCTCGAAACAAATTGTCCCAAAGCCAAATGTTTGGATCTGCTTTAGCTACTCGCAACGCCTCAAGGCCATATTTCCACCAGTGTGCGACACCACGTATCAATAGATTGTTTACGCTTGGCCTGTAACACAGTGAAACGTTTCGCAACCTTTCGAGGCAAAACTTTCTGCATCTACATGCGGCCAGCTTGAGGATGATATGACACCACACTGAAACTTAGTTAACAGTTCATATGGCCGCTTGATTATCTAAATTTTGAACCTACTGTAGAAGTCAAGAGAAGAAGAAAAATATGGGCGTCACAACGGAAATCTTCTACAGATTGTTCATGTGTCATATACTTAAGTTGCCGTACAAAGCGCAGCTTTTAGCCATTCTACATATCAATTTTATATATGACGTTTTGTTTTCCGTTTCAGGTATGTTATATAAAGCAGTCGGTGCCGGTTTTCTCCTTAACCGGGACTCTCGTCGATTTTACGAGCGAGCAAAATGAAAGTTTTGCATAATGTATTGGAGTTGAGGCATAATACAGGCGGCACCCGGGTCCCGGCAAAATCTCGGGAATACTATATACAACATATACCCAGCCGATGCCGGTTATTGCTGCGAGATTTTACTACTTCACAAAGGCTACAGACTACAAATAGTTGGGCCGCTGACAGAAAAACTTCTTCAGACTTCCCGAGTGCTTCAGATACTTTTCAACAGTAAAGTTTCAGTAAAGCAGTGGTCCAGTCAACCGGGTCTCTAGCCTTTTTAGATACAGTGGTCACAGGTACCTTGTTGTCAAGTCGTGGCATGCAAGAAAAGCTACATGTACCGATCACAGGTGCCTGGCCGTCGATCTATTGCGTAAGAAAAGCTGTTTAGTCCCAAGGCGATCATCGGTACCTATAGTCAAATAGAATTGACGACAGTAGCAGAAGTCATCGTGCGTCACTGCTTTGACGCTGTACCTTTTGATTACAGCGACATTTACCGACATTTCACAAAGAAGCGCCGCATTTTCGAAGGCTTCCACGTAATAGCAGTGGCGTACGATGAGTTTCGCTACTGTCATCAATTTTGGTATTTTACTATAGTATGCAAAAAGGCTTCTTGCGAGATTCGAAGCTACGAGCCCGTCGAGCAGTAGCGTACGAGGCTACTCACGACGGTCGCAGGCACATGGATGCCGAATTCTTCCATATAAAGAACCTACTTAGTATCGGGGCGATCCAGCGTACAAAAAAGATACTCGCGGCAGTCTCAGGCATCTGGCCGACGAGGTCTGAAGCATAAAGAGCTACTTTAGCATCTCCTGATAACAGGCACCTGACCTTAAAACTTTAGCATTTAAAAAAACAGTTCATATCAGGACGCTTCCAGTTACCTGGACTACAAGCCGTCGTATACCAAAAAGCTTCGTGCGCAAGTCAGAGCTACTCCGTGTTCAAAAAAGGCTACCACCTGGCCGTCTATGTCTGGCATAAAAAAGCTCTTGAGTATAAGAGCGATCATAAATTCCTGGCCGTCAAGCCGTGATATGCAAAAGCTACTTGGGACATTTACATGTACAGGGTGCGCCAGAGAGGACGGACGTTTTTGGGATGGGTGGTACTCTCCGCCTCCGACTACGAGAGAGGTGGGGAGGGTGCCGTTTGACTCGTGAGATCCTAGCATTATTTTACCAGTTGTCGTTATGGAGCCTTGGACGGTGGAGCACCGCGTTTTCGCCTATGAGTGACGAAGCCCACTTTCACTTAAACAGAATGGTTAACCAACAGAATTGACGTTAATGGGCTAATGAAAATCCGCAACAGTTAGACGAAAGATCGCTGCACAGCCCAAAAGTAACGGTTTGGTGCGCTGTATCGCAAACTTGCATCATTGGCCCTTACTTCTTCGAAGACGGTAATGGTCGTGATGTTACCGTGAACTCAGAGCGCTACGTCGACATGATCACCAACTTCTATCTCCCTGAATTACGACAGCGACGTATTCCAATCCGACGTGTGTGGTTCCAGCAGGATGGGGCGACCGCCCACACAGCCCGAGCATCCATGGACGTTATTCGCCCTCTCTTCCCTGGTCGCCTTATTTCCAGGTTTGGCGATGTTCATTGGCCTCCTCGGTCCCCAGATTTATCCATATGCGATTTTTTCTTATGGGGACACCTCAAGGCTAGAGTATACGCGAACAAGCCCCGAACTCTGGACGAATTGAAGGGCGAAATTCGCGTGGAAGTCGCCCAAGTTGAGAGAGCGATGTTGGAGAGAGTCTACGCGAAATTCGAAGAACGCCTCCAGCACTGCATCAACGCTTTCGGCCACCACATGCCTGATGTGATTTTCCACACTTGACTGTCTCAAATGCTATTTTCTTGTGAACCTGATTGCATCAATACATTTGTTTTCGAGTAAAAATTAACTGTTTTATGATTTTTTTAAAACCGTCCATCCTCTCTGCCGCAGCCTGTACATACCTATCGAGCCTTGACAAAATAGCTAATCGAGAAAGCTACAGGCACTTGACCGCCGAGTTCTGATGCATAAAAGGGCTTTTTTAGAATCAGGGCTATCACAGGTTCCTGGCCGTCAAGCTACGGCGTGAAACAAGCTACACGAGCCAATAACAGCTATAGCGTATAAAAAAGCTATTTCCTATCAGCACTATCACGGGTACCTTAGCTGTCAAGCCGTGGTATGCCAAAAAGCTTCTCGCCGTCGAGTGCGAAAAAGTTACTAACGGCAGTGATAAGCACCTCGGTAATTCTGACGTATAAAAAAGAGGTACGTAGAATTAGGGCTATCGCAGGAACTTGAACGTCTTACCGTGGCGTACAAACAAGCTACCAAGGCCAATCCGAGACACCTTGTCGCAGTCACAGGCACTTGTCCGTCTAGTTCTGGCATATAAAAAAGCATCTTTGAGAGTCCTTGGCGCATGTTCAGTGTCGCAGTGGATTTGGATCCCCTGAACGTTCAGGTGCTAGTCGTCTATGTTTGACATATGAAGGAGCAACTTTGAGCTGCTTAGGCCCATATCGTCAGTCGTTCCTACAATTGTAGGGCGCCTTTATGGCCTCCTTGATTGTCATAGTTGTCTACTTCTCCATGTCAGCGCTCTATTTTGAGGTTATGTCACAAACATCTATTTGCATCAAATTGTGCTTGCTTCTGAGTTCTATCATGTTTTATCAGTCTGAAATTTCCTACAATATAAAATGAAAACATATCTTCACAATAGGAGAGCGCTGACGCTGACAAGGGACAAGTGTAATCTAGAAATTTTTGAAGGAGAGAAAGGAGTATGACAATCAAGGAGGCCATAAACGCGCCCGACAATTGTAGGGACGACTGACGATACGGGCCTTAGTATCAAGGTGATCACTGATACCTGCCCGTCGAGCCAAGACGTGCAAAAAAATACACAAGCCAGTCACAGGCTGCCGGCAGCCAACTGGTTCAGGCCTACAAAACAGCAACTTTGTATCAGGGCGGTCAGAAGTACGTAACCGTTTAACAGTCGCGTGCAACCAGCTAGCCGCGAAAATCGCAGGCACAGGGCCGTCAATTTCTGGCGCTACTTATAGAGCTACCTAGTATCAGGTTCCAGGCCTTCGTGCTATAAAGCTACTTCGGGTATTTACAGGTACATGGCCGCCAAGCCGGTGCATGCAAAGAAGCTTCTAAGCTACAGTCTAGGCACCAGCCTGACGAGTTCTGACGTATAAAAGAATTCTTTAATTTCAGGGCGCTCACAGGCACCTGGACGCCAGGCATGCAAAAAGTCTTCCTGCTGAAATCACGGTTACCTGGCCATCGAGCCGTGAGGTGCAAAAAAACTTAACGACAGTGCACCTTAGGAAAAAAGTAGTCTGACCGGTCAGTGATCCTACTATTAGTACTCCATACACTTTCCTATGCTGCCAGCCGAGCCCGTGAGTCCGATGCTGTTTTGTTTTCGGTTTACTTTATGGTGAAGTATTATTTTTAGGTGCAGCCGGTGATGCTAAATGAAAATGGAAATTTCATGTTTATGACGGGATGATCCCTCGCATGGATTCGCTGTGTTACGTAAATAAAATAGGCTGTAGAATCAGGTTTTGTGATTGTTTTTAGTATGGGAGTTTTTTCGATTACTGTTAGTAGAGTATGACACAAATATTTTTTTATACAATCTAAGCATGGAGCTTTTATTCTAGGAATGATTATTTGGTCTCTTATGAGGCTTTGCTTGTTGATGACTGCTTGATTTCAAAAATAAATCGGAAACGTAGCTTATCGAGTTACATACAAAATACTCAGTATGGATGCACTGGAGTTTTCAATATAAGTTAGAAGGATGATTATCTTGTTGGATAGGTTGGGGACGTGATTTTGACTTCTTTAGAACGAGAAAGTAGGTAGCAGTAACAGTGCAGCTAAGCCTGGCAACTGTACTTATGTTGATCTTTCGCCTATCTAGTGCGTAATATAAATAAACGCAACATCCATTGCTCGAAATTAACTTCGAGATTCGAACCCGCGGGCCTGAGGGTCGACTGAGTAGCAGCTCGACCCGCTAACCGCTCTGCTACCTAGCCACCAAAACGAGTATAGTAGCCAGTATAAAGTGTTCTATCACGGCTAAACAATGTTTCCAAGTTCTTCATTAAGCATTTCACAAACAATTAGCTTCGCTTTCAAAGATTGACAACCGCCAGATTTCGTCAACTTTTCTCCTGCTATTTATCCAGAAAATCACTCATGAAGCGATGCTTCTATCAAATAATGTTTAGGGATGCAGTTCTTCTAAGAATAACAGGGCCACACCTGGTCGATTTCCCTACTTGTAACCCAATATTATTTAAATTTATTTGTTTACGTTCCTCCACTAGAAAATATGGACGACCTAAGAAATTAATTGCTAAACGGCCCTAAAGTAGTTCGTCTGTCTATGCATTTCAGCTGAAGAGCGTCATTTAGACCAATAGAAGCACATTGTACTCTTTTACGTTTTTTAACTCATTTCACTTCAAGTCAAACAATAAACGACAAAAAATTATGACAAATGAAAAATATGCGCACATGCTTATCTCCCAGGCTAGATTAGAAATACTTTTCTTCGCACTTAAGTCGTACTAAAAATGTTAAGGAAATGAGTATATCATAAAAACAAGTTTTATTGTTATTAACTTATGCTGTTTCAAGTAAATGTAATAACAGCCAACTAAAACAACTAATGACCTCATATACGCATAATAGTTTTATATAGACAATAGAGTAGGTAAGTACTTAAGATACACCTTAATAGGTTTAGGTTCCTGTGATGGTAACATTTGTTAATTTATACTGAGTGACAATAAAGTAAACACCACGTATGTTTATCCGATTTTAATAATCTAACAATACACGCAGTCACCACACAAAATCTGACTTGTTGTTCATGGCAAAGTAAATCGATATGTAAAAAACTCTTGAATTCTAATAAATATACGTAGGTGTTTACCTTTTTTGTCACTCAGTGTATTAATATCTTAATGCTGCAATATTATCAAAAATCGAAACAGACATCAAAATCCGTCAAACCAGAAATCAAAACTATTTCGAGAGGGTCAAACTGCTTTGGAGAATTTTCATTTACCAGCGCTTAGAATTTCGACCTGTTTCATATCGCTTATTCCACTTCACTTTCTGTCAATTGTATTTACCTTAGAAAAATGTTAAAACCAATTTCATTTTATAACAGATGCCGTTTTATTTCTATTTTACAACTGTTTACTTAATAAAAATTGCTTTCTAAAATGTTATTGGTTATCCCTGTACCAGTCACAATGTGCTGAAAATATTTCACGGAGCAACAATAAAATAAATTGTAATTGGTGATTAGCAATTGTTTACTTTCTACAATCACAAGCCGATTATGGAATCGTTCATCTTGCGAAATAAATATCGAAAGTATTAATATTACGTCATAATAGAGTATTTATTGCTATTGTGCGAACATGTCTGCAACAGGTCTAATCCAACAAAATCGATGCTTAATGACCAATCAGCGTCAATTTATTTATAAACATATAATGACCCAACATTCTTATCCATCTACAGGTCAATATAGTGGTAACTTAACAGTGTGCATACAATAACAAAAATATAAAAACAAAAAAATACAGATAGTAATAGTCCTTGAAATTTGACAAAACCTTATGAATAGATATAGACGAACTGGATGCCTGCCAAAGTAGAATTATTGAATACAGGATATAATGGTGAATTCAGTAATTTAGTGAAAAGTAAAAACCCTTCTCAAGTTTAACAGGTGTATATACAAAAATTTTACCCCTCGAGATCTGGAATATCAGTGTCCATACAATAACAATACAAAATGCCAACAAGAAAAATAGCTAAAGTAGTAGTCTTTGAAATTTGGCAAAATCTTATGAATACAATCATTTCAAAATAACTTCATAATATCTAGTGCACGTGACTCAAGTCAATTTTTTACAGTTCCATCATTAAATTCCTAATAGAGTTATGTTTTGAAAATGGGACACTTTGCAGATAATTGTAGTGACAATTTCAAGAAGTGCTATTTCTTATACAATTTGCAAAAAGCAGCAGAAGCCTAGTTAAGGTAGATGTTATTATTATGTTGACACAACGCTGTCACTTTGGTAGGCATGCTAGACAAATGAGTTAAAAGTATGCACTAAAACAATGCAATGGAAAGATACAGGGTTGGTAGGTAGAAATGCTATCCTTTTGTTAATATTTCTCAACATTATACCGATTATTGGGGGTATTGAAGAATAACTACATGAGGAGCTATACTCAACATCACTTATTTCTCAATCGTTTTAAAATAGAGTTTGAGCTATCAAACTGACAGAATACAATTTTAAACATGATTCACCTAGGCGTCTTCATTATTTACATAAGGAAAGAAATGCAATAGGCATTGCTGTCAATAATGGTAATTTCTCGGGTAGCGAGCATTTTTTAATGTACCTTATTGTTTTCTTCTTATGGAAGGTAACAGTCGTATTATTCAAATTTTTAAGCCATAATTAAATAGAATCCTTCCTCTTTCATGAAGTAATGCCCACAGTCTCTCACATTTCCCCGCTCCAGTTAACCAGAATTTATGTGTATTTACAATTAGGGTATCCACCTCACTGTTACACGTATACTCTTCGAGATTAACCAAGACAGAAGACGCCGCCTTTGCCGTCTAGCGTCTGCTAAAGAAATACATCCCTGCTGCTCGTAAAACCGCCTATTATGCTGAATTAAAGTAGTCGGCTGCTGCCTGGCGGAACGAGCAAGGTAAAAGCAGCCTAAATAGCCCAATAGAATGAAGTTTTTACTGATAATAACAACACCTTTACTCGTAACTTTTCTTGAAATCCAAATTTTTAGCAATTACTTAACTTTTAAGACTATAAAAACATCATGTCATTACGACATAATAAATGGGATAATTTGTTCTTTTATAGTTCAGCATTTATAAAATTGATGTATAAACATCGCATAAAGGATTATACAATTAGTACATAGTTCATAGTCCCTATCCAAATGAAAACGCTAACGCTTGCTCCTTCCCTGCCCCAAGTATCGACCATCTGGCAACGCTGCTGGACCACTCCAGTCAAATACATCATAAACGCCAGGCACGATACTATAACATGTCTGCCGGCGATGCTGTCATACGCAAGTTAGGCTTCGACGTATGAAAGTCGCCGATCCCTGCCGTGTGGAAGTACTCGTCTTTTAACAATATATTCATAATAACTAAAAACATTCCTTAACAACGACCAAAGTTGATTAAATCTTATTCTAACAATTTTTTTTATTTTCGCCAAGAGACAAAACAGTTGTATCATCAGCTGCTCAATGCGATATATATATATATATATATATATAT